AGAGAGAGAGAGAGAGAGAGAGAGAGAGAGAGAGAGAGAGAGAGAGAGAGAGAGAGAGAGATGAATTCTGGGCCCTCAGGGTTTGACAATGCCCCGGTCACGAAAGCTGCGATTGCTTTGTCAGCCTGCTTCTCTATTGTGGGTAGTTGTTTTCGAGTCCTTCGGCATTTGAACCTGTCGTATAKCTCTGTCTTTCAGAGGCTAGAGCTATGGAGGTTGTTGACTGCACAGTTTGCTTTCTCTTCACTGCCAGAGGCAGCATTTGGCCTCTACCTTCTATACGTCTTTCGTATGTTCGAGCGACTCATCGGTTCAAGCAAGTTTGGGGTGTTTGTGCTTTTCTCTGTGGTGACGTCAACGATTCTGCAGTTGTGTGGGTTACTGATTTTGCGAGGCGATGCTCTCCCCAGCAACATTGCACTTTCACCTGGCCTGTACAGTCTTATCTTCTCCCTTTTTGTTCCATTCTGCTTTGATATCCCTGTCTCTTCACGCTTTTCAATCTTTGGCCTTCRGTTAACCAACAAAACCCTCGTCTATCTTGCTGGCCTCCAGCTGCTCTTATCGTCTGGGARGTCTTCCTTTCTCACAGGGATGACAGGTGTTCTGGCAGGACTGACATATCGGACTAATGTTYTTAGTATCAAGACATGGAAATTGCCCAATGCCGCCGTCTCATGGGTTGTGAAGGCTACGTCACCCTTCTCCTTCTTTGCTAATTATAGTCTTCGCACTGGTCGCGTAATTTCTCCTCGCGATCCATCTGTGCTTGCCCCTCCATTGGCCGTCTCTTCATACCAATCATTGCCTGGAAATGACAGTGAAAGGGCTGCAGGCCGAGCAGTTGGACCATTACCTCCCTTTCTAGGTGGAGGTGCTCGATCAGGGTTCAGCGAGTTGTTCTTGCCGTCGCTCATCCCACCACCACCGCCTCCGACTCCCCCGCCTCAGGAGGCTGTAGAAACTCTTACAGGAATGGGGTTTGACCGGTCTGAGGTGACCCGTGCTCTTGCGGATGCAAGGAACGATGTAACTCTGGCGACAGATCTGTTGCTGGAATGGCGTCGCTCATGATTCCTTTGTAAACACTTCGTTCTCTCTTTTCTTCTTCTCTCTGTGTGTGTGTGTGTGTGTGTGTGTGTGTGTGTGTGTGTGTGTGTGTGTGTGTGTGTGTGTTTGTTTCTGCTTTGTTGGAGCTGCAGTTGGCTCTGTTTATTCAGAAAATTTCTTCCTCCAATTTTGGAATATGTAGTAGGTGCGGTAGCCTTAGCAGGTCACGGGATTGTAAGCAATCTTTGTGTGTCTTGTGGCATACGAGACTCCGACTCCATCAGTGAATGATGCTTGGGCAAGGCCAGAAAAAAGTATGTTGGATAGCTGCTGGCTCCTTCAAGTACAGTGAAAGGTATATTGGATGTTTGCTCTTCTGTCATCCATTCTCCCATCTTCGTCAAGGTACCAGTTTTCTTTCCTCTTTGAGTCTTTGGTACCAATTTGAAAAAAGAGAAAAAAATGTTAGAGCAACGGTGCAGAAGGGTGTTGGATGCCTGCTCCTTTACAATGGCAGAGGAAGGTCTTGGGTGTATGCTCTTCTGCCATCCAGTATACCATACTCTTTTCTTTTTCTTTTTGTTGAAATTCGACATTCATTCCACATTCTTTCAGGGTGCCAGTTTTCTTTGTTGGCACCGCTAGTCAGTACCTCTCGGTTTGCTTTCCATTTTGTCTTTATCTGATTTGTCCCACAGTGTGCATGAATCATAGAACCTGAACTCAAGAAGTAAGAAAGGGCATGCTCGCAATAGCACTTCTCGTAGTGTATCTAACTGCAATTAAACCAGAACCTGGATGCATCTGACTGTAATCCAATCCAGAGCTGAGTCGAAAAGCCCCAATGTGAGTATGCCCTCGCAGGACTGGAAACTTTGGAACTTGATTGGCCTTAAGGCTTAAGGAGGCAACAACCATCTTTTTTGGATTAACAGAGAAGGGATGTGCCATGGTTTCTTTTTTTCCCCCCTGTTTTAATCTTGTTTTCTTTCCCCCCTATATTCTTGTCTTACAGTGTCTGCGACATGCATGTTGAGTTCATGTGGTCAAGTGGTGGATCCTGCTCTCTCTCTCTCTCTCTCTCTCTCTCTCTCTCTCTCTCTCTCTCTCTCTCTCTCTCTCTCTCTCTCTCTCTCTCTCTCTCTCTCTCTCTCTCTCTCTCTCTCTCTCTCTCTCTCTCTCTCTCTCTCTCTCTCTCTCTCTCTCTCTCTCTCTCTCTCTCTGTGGTGCGCTCGTGTGTGTGCGCATGTGTGCGCACACGCGTTCGTGGTGCACATATTCTCTACTCCCCCCTCTCTCTCTCTCTCTCTCGCATATCGTCCACCCCTCTCTCCTTGTTGTTGTCATCTCCTCCCTTCCTCCCAACCCTCCTTCCCTTCCCGAATCCGCTCTTGGACTTTTTTCTTTCTGGAGAATCATGTGAATTTTGTCGCTTATTGCATGTGATGTTAGGCTTGGAGTTGGACTGGTGAGCTTTTCCAGGTCCTTCAGGTGTGCCAAAGGGCATATTTTGCCGAGGTTATGTTGCCTGTTTGGTTCCAGGCTTTGTCAACGCTGGTAAGTTAGGCGCTGTGCTGTGGTCCATGGTCTGTAACCGATCTGTTAGTTCAAGCACAACCTGGCTGGTGTGGTTATCCCTTGCTGCTGCCATGGAAAATGACTTGTGTTTTGTGCTTGCATAGCATGCACCTTGGCCTTGAAGAGTTGACCTAAGCCACCAGTACCTCCAAGCCTCTTTTTCCTGACACGCATTTGCACTGCACGCCACATTTGAAAAACAGTGGCACACTTTTTTTTCTTATTTGGCTGGCGTTGCCAGCCGTTTTGGTCTGGTAGCAGTGTTTGTCCAAAGAACCTGAATTGACGCAATTTCGGTTCTCAAGTTTGCCTGGGTGAGGTACTGGTGGTTTAAGATCAATTCCAAATTCCAAAAGCGTGCAATTTGAAACCGTGTATGTAACTTGGTCTAGAAACCATCAAAATTCGGTCCGGAAGCTGTCCTCCAGCGGCAATGAAACCCAAATAATGGTCTGTGCTTGCTTGGCGCGTGAAAACAGAAGAGCACCAGTGTGTTGATGCCGCCTCAAGGAACTGAGTCACGGCTGCCGTGCCTTGTGCTTACTGCATTTGGAAAAAGGTGGTTGTCAATGTGGGACTGTGATCATTGCATGAATGGAGCTGGATGTTTGTCTGAAGATGATGGATGTGATGGGTTTCAACTTTCAACTTTGAAGCCAAGGCGCATTGACGAAAGGTACCCTAGCTACACATCAGCTTTGTTTTCCGTTTGAACGCTTAGGCCCTTGGTGGTATATGTCTCCTACTGCCTTCCCCTGCTGAATAGGCCAGGTCTTTGTGCGCTCAACATTGCACTGATTACAGATGTAATTCTCAGTTGCGCTGTTCGGTTCAAAATTCAGAATATAATTTTGATGATTGATGGAATAACCGATGTGACAGAACTGATCTTTGCGGAAACATTGTTTGAAATCTCACTGATTCGCATTACGTATTGTAGTTTTTTGTTTTTTCCCACCTACAATATTAAAATCGCTAAAGAGACAAATCTTGAATCCAGGCTGTCGTAGGTCCTACCGGCCCACGACCCAGATCGACGGAACAATGTAATAAATCTGTGATCTGGGCCGTCGGGCCCTGCCGGACCGATGGCCTGGATGGACACAGTCTTAAGAATGAGCCCTGCACCTTTTTCTTTTTCAACGGGTAGCGACACAGTTCCCCGTTGATACTGAAAAAGGCCAACGGAGTCTGCTGTTGTGAAGTGCCCTGGGTACCCTAATGGGTTGTGAAGCGCACTTCTTGAAATGGCCTGGATGCGACGTCATTGTCCTGAAGCGCCCGTCTTGAAAAGAGTGTCTCATAGGGGACCGGTATGACCGGTGTGGCAATACATTGGGATGATCAAATGGTCAGGTGCTGGCAGGCCTGTCATATGCCCAGTAATCAGCCTCTGAAACAACCTGGACTTTTAGGGGGGGGGGAAAGAAAGAAATGCCCGTTGTCATGAAGCAAATTCTCTCTCTCTCTCTCTCTCTCTCTCTCTCTCTCTCTCTCTCTCTCTCTCTCTCTCTCTCTCCACCTGCAGTTGAGGAGCTGGCCCTTGGTGATTGTGGTGGGCCTGGTGATGGCATGCGTTGGTGGAATGGCAACGCTTGGAAACTGCTCCAACATGGGAGATGGAGGTAAGTGGTCACTTTCCAACTCCACCCGCCTCTCTCTCTCTCTCTCTCTCTCTCTCTCTCTCTCTCTCTCTCTCTCTCTCTCTCTCTCTCTCTCTCTCTCTCTCTCTCTCTGCGCCAGTGTCAGCGCTCCCCTCTGCACCAGCGCAAGCGCTCCCTCCTCTGCCCTGCGCCCCTTACCCTCTGCCCTCCGCTCTCCGTTCCTCCCCTCTGCCCACGCGCTGTCTCTTATACACATCTAGATGTGTATAAGAGACATCTGCGCCCCTTACCCTCTGCCCTCCGCTCTCCGTTCCTCCCCTCTGCCCACGCTCCCCCTCTGCCCCCGGCTCCTCTCTTCCGCCCGTGCTCTGCCTGCCCATCGCCCTTGCGTTCATGTCCACCTCTCTCTCTCTCTCTCTCTCTCTCTCTCTCTCTCTCTCTCTCTCTCTCTCTCTCTCTCTCTCTCTCTCTCTCTCTCTCTCTCTCCTCCGCCCTCCACTCCTCCCCCCATTGCTTCCGCTGAGTTTCCCTCGCTCCTCCCCTCCTCTGCCGCTCCTTCCCCTGCCCCTTTCCCTGCCCCTTCCCCCTCCTCCCCTCCGCGCCCCCACTCTGCCGCTGTTGCATACTGTAATGGTGCAGACCAGAACAAGAACCAACCTCTCAATACAAAGTACAAGATAGCGTAGCGGAAGACTTAGATACCAATAATCCGAACAATCAATATTGCAATGCAGCCCTGAACATACATCATCATCATCGTTCCMTGGTGTGAAAGGGGTCTGGCGCTTCACACAGGAAGACTGCGCCAGCCCCAACCATACACAGACGAAGAAGAATGGGGTTAGACGAAGAGGAGGGGAAGATGGGAATGTCGTCAACACCAAGTCTTCGGCACAGGCCCAAATAGTCCCTCGTCAAAATGTCTGAATCCGAAATGTCGAGTCTGGATCCACTGTCGTCAAGTCTCAAGTCACAACTCTCTCTCTGTCTGTCGTAGTCTGCTGATCCGGGGAAGTCAGGTGGTGAGAGGGTGAGAAGAGATGGTGGACTTAGAAGAGGAAGAAGAAGAACTCTCTCTCTTTTTGTGTCCAGTACTAACCTGTGAAGTTGGCGCCTTGATGCAGGTACCTCGAAGATGGAGCTGGAGCTATGGCACCACAGGTTAGTACTGCTGGCCTCCGCCAGCCATCTCTCTCCAACACTACCACTACCAGCTATAAGCGCCCTGCGCTGAAGACTACTCCTACAGCTATGAGCGCCCAGCGCTGAAGACTACTGTTAGCGCTAACTACTACTGCCAGCGCTCCTCCTGAGTGCTGCGGCTGAATCCTGAAGACTACTCGTGCCTACTGTCCAACTACCTACCCGTGAAGTGCATGTGAACTTCCTATGTACTACTCGGGTGCCTCCTGACTGCAGGCGAGGCAGTCCAGGAGGCTGCTCTTGCCAATGCCGAAGGGAGGCAGGGGCTGCTGCTGCAGCTCCTGCTTGAGCTGTCGTGGGGAACAGGCCAGAAATAGCCTATTCCCGAAACCCTGTTTTTGTGCCTGAGTCTTAGGGTAGGTCGAACACAATGAGGGCCTGAAAATGGCCCTCCGTTTCAGGCTGAAAAGCCTCTGGGCCTGAAAGGCCCTTGTTTTTCAGTTTCAGGCTGAAACGACCGGGGCCCTATTTTCTAGGCTTTTAGGCTGAAAGTGCGGGACGGGCCCTGCAGGGCCCGTGTGGCTACGCAGTATGCCACAGCCGCCCTTTCTTCCGAAATGTTATACATTAGAAGAAAAAAAAGACCTGCTCCCCCTTTGCCCTCACCACCTCCCCTCCACCATTCCACCCACGCTCCCCCCTCTGCCTGCACTACCCCTCCGCCCTTCCGCCCATGCTTTCCCCTCCGCCCTCTGCTCCTCCCCTCTGTCCTTCCACCCGTGCTCCTCCCCTCTGTCCTTCCGCCCATGCTCCTCCCTCCACACTCCGCTCCTCCCTCCGCCCTTCCACCCACACTCCCCCCTCCGCGCTCCACTCCTCCCATCCGCCCTCCCACCCATGCTCTCCCCTCTGCGCTCCGCTCCTCCCCTCCGCCTGCGCTCCTCATCCACCCGCGGCTCCTCCTCTCCACCCGCATTCCCCCTCCGCTCCGCCGCTCCTCTCCCAATCCCTCTTCCCAGCCATCCGCTCCCCCCCTCCATGCTTCCCGCCCTCCGCCCTTTGCCTGCCCTCCCCCTCCTCCGCCCTTTGCTCCTCTCCTCCGCACTCTGCCCTCCGCCCACACTCCCCCCTTTGCGCTCTGCTCCTCTCCTCCACCCGCGCTCTGCTCCACTTCCACTCAACTTCGCCCGCCCTGCCATCCGCCTTCCGCCTGTGCTCTCCCCTCCCGCCCTCTGGTTCTCCCCTCCGTGCTCCGCCCTTTGCCTGCGCTCTCCCCTCCACGCGCTGCTCCTCTCCTCCGCCCGCGCTCTGCTCCGCTTCTCTTCAGCTCAACTTCCCCGACCCCGACCTCCGCTCCTCCCCTCCACCCGCGCTACCCATCTGAAGCCCCTCACCCCCTTCTCGGCTGGTCCTCCCCCCGCCCCATCCCTCCTCCCCTCCGCCCTCCGCCTCTCCACTCCACACTCCACGCTCCCCCCTCTGCCCTCCGACTTTCGCCCTCAGCCCTCTGCCCACTCTCCCCCCTCCTCCCTTCCGTTCTCCGCCCTCCGCCCTCCGCCCATGCTCCCCACTTCTCCCCTCCGTGCTCCGCCGTCCGCCCTCGGCCCGCACTCCCTCCTCCGCCCTTCACCTGCGTTCCCCCCTCTGCTCCACTCCACGCTCCATGCTCTGCCCTCTGCCCTTTGTCCACACTCCCCCACCTCTGCCCTTTGCCCCTCCCCTCCGCGCTCCGCCCTCCGCCCACAATCCCCCCTCTGCACTCCGCTCCTCTCCTCCACCCGCGCTCTGCTCCACTTCCACTCAACTTCGCCCGCCCTGCCCTCCGCCTTCCACCTGCGCTCTCCCCTCCCGCCCTGTGCTCCTTCCCTCCCTGTTCCGCCCTTTGCTTGCGCTCTCCCCTCCTAGCGCCGCTCCTCTCCTCCGTGCATGCTCCGTTCCTCTTCAGCTCAACTTCCCCGACGCCGCCCTCCGCTCCTCCCCTCCGCCCGCGTGACTCATCCGAAGCCCCTCCCCCCCTTCTCCGCTGCGCCTCCGCTCCACCCTCCGCTCCACGCTCCGCCCTCCGCCCTCTGCCCTCCGCCTGCACTCCCCCGTCCCCCCTCCGCTCCTGCCCTCTGCCCTCCGCCCTCCGCCTACGCTCCCCTCTCTGCCCTTCACCCGCATTCCCCCCTCTGCTCCACTCCACGCTCCCCCCTCTGCCCTCCGCCCTTCGCCCTCCGCCTGCGCTCTCCCCTCCCCCCTCCCCCCTCCGCTCCTGCCCCTGTCTCTTATACACATCTAGATGTGTATAAGAGACAGGTGTCAGCGCTCCCCTCTGCACCAGCGCAAGCGCTCCCTCCTCTGCCCTGCGCCCCTTACCCTCTGCCCTCCGCTCTCCGTTCCTCCCCTCTGCCCACGCTCCCCCTCTGCCCCCGGCTCCTCTCTTCCGCCCGTGCTCTGCCTGCCCATCGCCCTTGCGTTCATGTCCACCTCTCTCTCTCTCTCTCTCTCTCTCTCTCTC